AGTTAAATAGAATGCCTCTAACATAACAAAGATAGCTAGAAATTCAAGAAACTTCCAACAATAATTAGATAACTCAATAAGCAATCAATCATGGAAGATGGGACTCTCCATTATAGTAAGATAGAAAGCCTCTATAGCTAGAAATTCAAGAAGCTTCCAATAATTATTTGATAACTCAAGAAGCTATCAATCTTGGAAGATGGGACTCTCCATTATAGTTAGATAGAATACCTCCAACATAGTTAGATAGAAGCCCTCTAACATGACAAAGATAGCTAGAAAATTAAGAAGCTTCTAATAATAATTTGATAACTCAATAAACAATCAATTATGAAATATGGGACTCTCCACTATAGTAAGATAGAAAGCCTCTAACATAATAGAGATAGTTAAAAATTCAAGAAACCTCCATTAATAATTACATAAGAAACAATCAATCATGGAAGATAGAACTCTCCATTACAGTTAGATAGAAGGCCTCTAACATGACAGAGATGACTACAAATTCAAGAAGCTTCCATTAATAATTAGATAATTCAAGAAGCAACCAATCATGGAATATAGGAATCTCCATTATAGTTAGTAAACTACCTCTAACATGACAAAGATAGCTAGAAATTCAAGAAGCTTCCAATAATAATTAGATAACTCAAAAAGCAATAAATCATTGAAGATGGGATTCTCTATAATAGTTAGATAGACTGCCTCTAACATAACAGGGATAACTAGAAATTCAAGAAGCTTCCAATAATAATTAGATAACTTAAGAAACAATCAATCATGAAAGATGGGACTCCCCATTATTGTTAGATAGAATGCCTCTAACAAGACAAAGATAACTAGATATTCAAGAAGCTTCCAATAATAATTAGATAACTCAAGAAGCAATCAATCATGAAAGATGGGACTCTCCATTATAGTTTAATAGCATGCCTCTACCAAACAAAGATACTAGAAATTCAAGAAACTTAACATTAATTAGATAACTCAAGAAGCAACAAATTATAGAAGATGTGACTCTTTATTATAGTTAGATAGAAGGCCTCTAGCATGACAATAATAGCTATAAATTCAATAAGGTTCTAATAATAATTATATAACTCAATAAGTAATCAATTATGGAAGATGAGAGTCTCCATTTTAGTTAGATAGAAGGCATCTAATGTGACAGGGATAACTAGAAATTCCAAAAGCTTCCAATAATAATTAGATAGCTCGAGAAGCAATCAATCATGGAAGATGGGACCATTCATTATTGTTAGATAGAAGACATCTAACGTGACAGAGATAACTTGAAATTCAAAGATCTTTCAATAATAATTAGATAACTCAACAAGCAATCAATCATGGAAGATAGGACTCTCTATTATAGTTATATAGAAGGCATCTAACATGACAGGGATAGCCAGAAATTTAAGAAGCTTCTAATAATAATTAGATAACTTAAAAGCAATCAATCTTGAAAGATGTGACTCTCTATTAATAATAATGTTTTGATTTAATAGTATCTGAAACCCTTATACTTTTTCAAATAAAATCAATATAGTCCTTAAATATTTTTTTACACTCAATATAGTTCTTAAATTGACTTTTTTTTAATAATTTATTTTTGCAGTATTTTCATATTTAATGTATTGAATTTCTTAATAATTATTTATATTTTTTATTATTTATTTTTTAAAAAATAAATAAGTCCTCAAACTTTCTAAAAAAATCAATTACTCCATCAAACTTAGTCAAAAACTCAATTAAACTCATCTACCATATCATCGTCTATCGTGTATTGCCACAACAGTATTGTAAATTGTCACATTAATATTATAGATTGTCATGTAAGTTTGTGAACTGTCATATAAGCGTTGTGACAGTCAATGTTTGATTATGTTCTTCAAAGGATCAAATTAATTTTTTAAGTACAAAAACGTCCAGGGGCTACACTAATTATTTTTTTCCAAAAGTTTGAGGGCCTCGATTATCATTAAAAATATTTTTATTTTAATGGTATTTTTGTGTGCTCTTGCTTATAACAATATTTTTATATATTTTTAAAATGTAATTGATGTCCAATATACAATAACATTATATTCTTATTATAAATTTTGTTTTATAGAACTCACATGTTAAATTAATATAATATTTTTTAATAACTATTTATTCATTTCTATTTTTAAAGATACCAAATGCATTTTTACTATTTTATTTTTGGATTCAAGTTTTCATTTTTATTAACCAAACATGTTTTCTATTTTTTAAATATTGAAAATGAAAGAACTCATACAAGCAAATAAAGATACATATAAGGATATACAAGTATTATAGATGAGTTAGATATGTGTTACTTTATTCGTAAACAGTTAGAAATCCCTCCTACCTCAATCAAATACTAACTTCTTTTTAGTCTTGTCTTTGGAAGACTCTCCCACTTATTTCACTAATCAAACAAATTAAAATTGAGTTATCAATTCATCTTAGAAATTTGGAGAAGTAAAAAAGAAAAAAATATAACATTAAAAATAGATTAGATTCACTCAGATCAAGAGCTCTAAATCTCTCCAGAATCCTTTTTTGTCACCCCACTAAGCATGGAGAAATAAAACTTACTTTCCCTAATTCAGATTAGATCTTCAAACACAAGAAAATTCACACCTTGAATCTTAAGTTGGCTTTTAGGGGAGGGAGAACTTGAATAGGAAAGAAGGCAAGGGATAAAGGCTTGGAGAGAGGAGAAATAGTTTATTGGTCCCTCCTACTTTGTTTTCAATTCAAAAAAAAAATTATGACTGTTTAGGCTCAAATTTGTCCCAACAACTTTAATGACCCAACTATACTATTCCATAGCTTTTCTTGGATTAACTTTTCTCCGTTGACCCGAAATTTGGATCGTTACAGAAACTCCTCGACTTCTACCCATCAACGATTAGCTTCATCTCAAGCTAGCATACTCCCCCTTTCAAACTTTATACTTATTGCTTAAAAAGTTATACCTCGTATTGAAGACAAGTTCGCTCCTCTAGGACTCCACGCATAGTAGTAGATGATTCACTCTTCATTTCCTTCATAACTCCTGACATTTTTGAAACAACAAAGCTAACCACATCCACGAGGTATTTTAACTTTAGCTCCAAATGATATAAACCAGTAGGAATAGAAGAGCTAACCCATGAAAAAAAAATGAACTAACCCTAAGGTCAACTGTGGTTGCTAAGAAAAAAACAAACATAAAATACTTCATATTCAGTAGATGTTTTCTTTTGGATCATCCAAATGATGTCCTAATCCTTATTTGTTCGCTTGACCTTGAATTGATCTTAAGTTCTTACTGATAAAAAAGGGAATAAGCGGAATGGGAGCATAAGATAAAGTCTGATGGTAAGATGCATGCTCGTGATCATGATTCTCATGTAGCGATGGTAAGCTACTGCAGGCCAAAAGAGATAAATTAAAGTTCGATCATTTACTGTTGGGGAATCATGAGAACATCAATGATGGAAACTGCAAAAAGCACAATAATTTTCTGTCATCTGGCCTGGGGAAGAGGGTTATGCCGTTGCTTACTGGATGATATGAATGCCACCTTTGCCTTGCATGTTTTGCTGCCACAATTCATGGAAATTTTGGATATGTGGCCATTCCTCAAGGAAGACGATTATGCAGGTTCTTACCACATTTATCGGGAAAAATCGACATTTTTAAAATTTTAAATGAGAAAATAATCTAAATGTTGTTAAAGAAAATATAAAATTAATTATTAGTTCGTAAATGTATAGACGTCCAGCTAGATGCCTGTTAAGATGAAAGCATATAGTTTTTGCAAAGTTTTACAAGCCTTTGGGCTCCTGTTTTGTCCTGCTGATATATATATATATACATAAGTGGTTAGCACATGATGGTAGAAGTAAACAGAAAAGGTTGCCATTGATCAGGACCCACAAACAAGGTTTTTTTAAGTGTTAATAATAAAATTTGATTAATAAAAAATTAATTTAAATAATAATATTTTATAATTTTATAATTTTTTTAAAATTAAAATTATTAAAATTAATTTTTTATTTAATTTATAATTAAATTTAATTATTTATAATATAAAAACAAATATTTTATATTTAAAAATAGTGAAAAAGATTAAAAATAGAATATAAATTATCAATATTTTTATTTATGGACAAATATTTATAAAAAGATTTAAAAAATTTATCATTTTTTAATATTCATAAAATAAAATCATTTTATCAAATTAAAAAATGTAAAAAAAATATAAAATTAATATAATAAAATAATTAACCAAACCAAAAACTAAAGCCTTAAAAAATTGGGTAAAGCACACAAATGGTCTTCCAACTATAGGGTATTATTTATTGAGTCCCTTGACTATTAAAAGTTACAAAATAATCCCTCAACTATATGACGTTTATTTGTTGAGACTTTTGAATATTAAAAGTTTAAAAATGATCACCTAATTATTCTTGTGTTCCAATCTCATCATTTTTCATTAAAAAATTAGTGATCGTCTGAGTTGGACGTTAACATGTTGACTGGATATGATAAAATATGATCTTATAACAGTTTGAGTTGTATTTTGCGGATTGAGTCTCTGTTTATATTATGTTGTCGAACCAGTTCTTGAAATATTATATCGTCGAGCTAGTGCTTGAAAGCAATGACGGTGCCAATAGACGTCATCAAAATATAATTTTATCATATCTCAATCAATAAGTTAATATCCAACTCAAATGATCATCATTTTTTTACGGAAAATGATCATTTTAGAACATATAAATAGTCATGTGGTCATTTTGTAACTTTAATAATCTAGGGACCCAATAAAACTGCGTCTATAATTAGAGGATTATTTGGTAACTTTTAATAGTCAAAGGACTTAACAAAATCACATTCTATAGTTGAGGGATCATTTTTGTAATTTACCCTATTTTTTTATAAAAAAAAGACTGTACCCAACCTTGTATACAGCTAGTTTCTGGTTTTAAAATTTGAGGATGGTCCGAGTGCACTGATTCTTTGGCCTTGTAAGTTCAATGGAGTTTTTCTTGTGCTTTGTAATTTCAACAATTATAAGCCAAACTCTGGCTTTGGAGGCTCCTTCTGGATCGAAATTGGAACTGCTCAGTCAAGAGTTGTTGGAATCTGCAAAACAGCCTGAATTTTTTGAGTGGATGATAGGGATTAGAAGGAAGATCCACGAACACCCAGAGCTGGGATTTGAAGAATACAAGACCAGCGAACTCATCAGGAACGAGTTGGACTCACTTGGGGTCAGCTATAAATGGCCTGTTGCTAAGACTGGCGTGGTAGCCTATATTGGGACTGCTTCAGAACCGGTCTTCGTTCTCCGAGCAGACATGGATGCCCTTCCTTTGCAGGTCATCTCTCTTTCTCTCTCTCTGGGTTTATCTCCTACAACATTATGCTTATGCGTTTTACTATAATTTTGAAGGAATTAGTGGAGTGGAAGCACAAGAGCAAAGTGGAAGGGAAGATGCACGCTTGCGGCCATGATTCCCATGTAGCAATGCTACTTGGAGCAGCCAAGTTACTTCAGAGCAAAAGAAATTTATTGAAGGTATGTTTTCAATCTTTGCAATTGTCTGCAAAAGTCTTAGAAACTTTGTTCTCTCTCTTATGGGCTAATTTTATATTGCTTCAACAATTTCTTGAAGGGAATGGTGAAATTAGTTTTTCAACCTGGTGAAGAGGGTTATTCTGGTGCTTACCATATGCTTCAAGACGGTGTACTTGATGATATCAGTGCAATCCTCAGTATACATGTTTTGCCACAAGTACCTACAGGTGCTATTGCATCAAGGCCAGGTCCGATACTTGCCGGTGTCGGACTGTTTTTGGCTACGATTCAGGGAAGAGGAGCACATGCATCAAGCCCCCATCTAGCCAAAGACCCTATTGTTGCAGCTTGCTCAGCCGTCCTTGCTCTACAACAGATTGTATCGAGAGAGACGGATCCACTTGAGGCCATGGTAATTTTCTATTTCCATGTTCGAATGTACTTTTCGAGATGGTAATCTTGTAGCACTTGCTCACTGAACTATCAGTTTGCTATAATAGATTTAGTTAACATCAGTACTCACCAAGTGGTAGCTAATTATCACTTGAGCACCAAATATGGAACAAAAGGTGGTTGATAGATCATTGTCATAAGAGCATTTGGTCCTAATTAGAATTGGCTTGGCCTGAAAGCTTATTTTTAAGCGTCAAATTTCAGCCATCTGTAATGAGTTTTTCCCAAAACCTGAAACTGCCATTAGAAAATTGAATTTCACCCAAAATATATATTGGATTCACATTTAAACTGGTCCGCCGACTGAATATGCTTGTAATGCCATGTTTTTTGATCAAGTGATCAGCATAATGAATCTTTGAGCAACAATCAAGACCCAGAATTCTAAGATTCATTTTGAATGATTAGTTGGTAACAGTTGGTTCAATTGAGGGAGGTCGAGCTGGAAATATAATCCCTGAATCTGTGACATTTACTGGGACATTTAGGAGCTTGTCCATGGAAGGTCTTTTGTACCTGCAAAAAAGAATAAAAGAGGTCAAACATGTTCTCTTCTTCTTCTTCTCTCTCTCTCTGGTTTTTTTTACCATAAATTGTTTAGCCCTATGACATTTTAAGTAGTTATTAGTTTTCTAAACATGGCTATTTGCTCCATCACAGATCATAGAAATGCAAGCAGCCGTGCATCAATGCAGTGCGACGGTGAACTTTATGGAAGACAAACATATGCCTCATCCAGTAATGGCCAACGATGAAGCACTGTATGAACATGCCAAGAAAGTAGGTAACAGTCTGGTTGGAGAAAACAATGTTCATCTAATCCCCATCACCATGGGAGCAGAAGACTTCAGTTTCTTTGCACAGAAGACCGCAGCTGCTATTTATGTGATTGGGATAAAGAATGAGACCCTGAAATCTGATCGGCCATTACACTCACCTTACTTTTTTATTGACGAAGAGGCTCTTCCGATTGGCACAGCTCTCAATGCTGCTGTTGCAATTTCATACCTGGACACCCATGTTGCAACTAATTGATAGCTTTGACATCAATGTAAGTGTTGCAATGTACAAATAAGCAGACTCAACATTTGCATCACAATGCAGATTAAAGGAAAATGGCAAGTTGTCCATTTATCAATAGATATAATATACACATTGTGATAAATGTTAACAGAAATAAATTGAACACTTTTAAACGTTAACAGAAAGCAGTATTTTTTAATAAAAAAACGTTAACAGAAAGCAGTACGGGCTCATCTGCCAATATTACCCGTAAGACAAAATCATAATGGAATTCTGTATTTTATGTAATTGTTGGTGCAGAATTAAAGGGTACACTTGAAATGATATATATATATATACACACACACACACACGGCTGATAACTACAACAGAAACTAACAAACATGAAACTTCACGATATGAATGGAAACTCCCGTTATGTTCATAGTCTTTAAAGTTAACTTTCTCAATTCAGGATAATTCTCAGGATATGGTTCATGCTTGTGCTTTCAAGCCAACCCAGCTCCACCAAAGCTCTAAACTTGTATCTACAATAGGTATGCTGGAGAAGTACTCACATGCATCTCCTTTTATGCACTTATCAGCCATCAAGTTGAATTTTTCTTGGTATTGCTGTCTTGCTGTGGTTTAGAAGAGTCTTCCTTTTTCTCCTTGACCTGCTGGATACCTTCTTGATATCCGTCAATAAAACTCTTAAGAGCATCTCTATATGCAGAAGCCCTTGTCATGTATAACCTCTGTAAAACAGGCCTCAAAGTCTCCATCCCTCCTCTTGCGGCAACCGCTATTAAATCATTTCCGTAAACAACATTAAAATAGTGCAACAATTCAACGTGCTAGGTATAATAACAGGAAAATAGAAAACAAGGCTGAAAGGAGAGAAATTAGGCCTCAAAATATTTTGGTTGAAAAAGATAAGTTTAACCCACAAGATAAAATGATGGCAAAATAAGGGGGGAAATATCAGCAGTTAAAGCTTTTCCATTAAAAAAAAACAACACAAGAAATATATAGTAAGATGTTCACGAAATAAAAATTTTGTAGATGGCGCACTATGCTATCATTCTTCAGGGTGAGCGGTTTCATTCATGAAGTTCAGAAAAATAAAATGTTGGCAGAGGGCACATCATGCTATCATTCTTCAGAGTGAGCAATTTTATTTACAATATAAGTATCTAGGTAACATGAAATATTTGGAATGATTCTCACATTGATGGCTCTAGGCATTGAAACCTGGATAATTAAAACCACCTGGGAGATAAACAATAGTTTAATATCTTCCTTGATTAACAATAGAACCTTGCCTTGGTGAAGAATGAATTGTTTACCAAAAACCAACAGCAGCATAAAATCTAGGGCTGGCTACACTGATGGCTCTAGGCATTGAAACCCAAATAACCAAAACCACCTAGGAGATTAACAATAGTTTAATATCTTCCCTAATTAACAATAGAGCCTTGGCCTGGTGAAGAAGGAACTGTTTACCAAAAATATGCCAACTGCAGCGTAAAATCTAGGACTTGTCACATTGATGGCTCTAGGCATTGAAACCTAGATAACCAAAACCATCTAGGAGATTAACAATAGTTTAATATCTACCTTAATTAACAATAGAGCCTTGGCCTGGTGAATAAGGAACTATTTACCAAAAATATGCCAACTGCAGCATAAAATCTAGGAGTTTAACACAGGTGCCAACAATATAATTCAAGAAAATATGATTAGAGATGAACCCTTTAGAATGTATATTGACTTTGGCACTTTAGGTGGCTAACAAATCCTAAGAACAGAGCACCAAGGGGAAAAATCAAAGCATCATGCTGCCTCTAGACAAGTTATACTAAATAGGGAAATTGAAATGAAAACCTGACTCTAATTGCCTTGTATCAAGTAATGACAAGAAGTGCTTGAGAACCAGGACCTTGAGAAGAAAGAATCTACTTATATCAGGAGTGATAGGGAGTATGTAAAAGAAAAAATACGATGGTTGGAAGAAAATGGAATTCCGGTAAATAGAGAGAGGGGGAGAGAGCTTGACCTGGAAAAATTATTAGGGAAGTTTTTAGAACTAAGGGTTTGTTTGTTTAGCTGTAATTGGTTTTCCAGAAAATGAATTACTGGAATTTGAATTACTGGAATTTGAATTACTGGAAAATGAATTACTGGAATTTGAATTCTGGAAAATGAATTACATTTCTGTAAAATGAATTACATTTCTGGAAAATGAATTACATTTCTGAAAAACATCTGGAAAATGTTTTATGATGTTTGGAAGATGTTATTTAAACATTTTTTCGGTATATTTTAGTGAAATAAAATTTTATAAATTATATTAATTATTTATTAAAGTAATAGTACTATATTATATTTTAAAAATATTAATTAGTATATTTTAATATCTTTACTAAAATATTATTGAAATATATAAATAATATTATTCATTATTAAATATATAAAAAAAATTTATTATATATTATTAAAATAAAAATATAATATCTATATATTATATATATTGATTATTTTATATAATATTAAAACATAATATTATATTATTATAAATATTAATAAATATATTTTAAATATTTTAATAATTAATATTTTGATGAAAATGATATTAAAATATTTTATTAATATTAAATTCATAAAATAAAATTATTTTGAGTATTTTTGCTTTGAAGTGAAAAGTTCGGAAAATGACTTACGGAAAATGAATCCGTAAGTCATTTTACAGAAAACACAAAGGAAATTCTGTTACTAGGAAAATGAATTACATTCCGGAAAACGAATTACGTGAAACAAACACGGGAAAACGTTTTCCGGAAAACGAATTACGTGAAACAAACACGGGAAAACATTTTCCGGAAAACGAATTACGTGAAACAAACACGGGAATTCGGGGAAAACCAATTCCGTAATTCCAATTACGGGAAACAAACAGACCCTAAGACCACAAATATGGTTTAATCCAAGTTTATGGTACTTCTAATTTTAATTTGTCCCTTATTAGCACCAACCATAGAATAGAAGGAGCTTGCACATTCAATATCGTACATTTCTTCAGAGCTCAAACATTATGGTACATTGTTCCTTGACCCCCCCCCCCCCCCATAAGGAATTGCAAGGTCAAGTGTAATGGATGCATTAGAAGAGACAATGTTCTATTCATCACAAAAAACTGCAACACATATTTAAATATTTTTAAGGAACAAATGGTTTATTGCATGGATAATCCGTCACATACTACACGTCATATTATATACTGCTCGATTCATTATAGACAACTTATACATCAGATACATTTCATGATACGAAATCGAAGAGTAAATTTCCTTACCAATATCTTCCAATGTTGAAGGTTCTGTCACTTTAGTCCTACTCTTATCTCCAATGGGTTTACCTTCAGTCTCATCATCCTTCTTATAATCATTCGGTCGAAGATCAGGACCAATATCCCTCACCCAGCTTGCAGCATAAAGCCTAGAGGCCTCCTTCAATACCTAAATAACTAGGAAAGATATTTACTGCTTATATAGTTGGAAAAAAATGCCTCTTATTCACTAGAGCGTAGGCAAATCATAGGTCATTGAGCATCATTGATATTCAAATCGTTAAGGTCACCATCAAGTAAGCAGAATAGAACTTAAAAAGTCATTTAATCAATTCAAATTTCAATGATCCAATTTGCACCTGGATTACCAGTATGGCATCTGTGAGATTTCTATCTTTTTTATCCTTAATGAGTTTTAAACAACAAAAGCACTTTTAAACACACGTCTTGATTTCAGGTAAAAAAACATGCATTTCTTTTCCATAAGAAAAATATAGTTAGAAAATACTTACAGCAATAAGAAAAATGAAAAAAAAGTAGGTTTACAAACTAATCTCACTATTTATACTATAGTGGAGAAATGATAGAACCATGCTCTTTAAAGCAGCAGTAATATCTAAACCAAAAGCCAATAGTAAAATAACAAATACAATTATTTCAACAGGAAAAGGAAGGAAAAGAACAAAGAAGAAGAAGAAAACAGAAACTAATAGCATTCATCGTTAAAACCCAGAAACCAATCAGTAATCTAAACTCTAACGGAGGAAAGGAAATTGGAAAAAGAAACTTACTAAGAAACGCTCGTGCCAAGTCAATTTCCGGCGCTTTTTGATGTGGGGAGGATCAGGCAATGAAGAAGGGAAAGCTATTAACTGGGGGAAGCAGCTATTAACTGGGTTCGACAGTACTGAGGCCTAAGTGCTTTTTAATAGGGTTAAAATTTGAATAAGAAACGAATTTTTTAATTTCGATTCCACTTAGACTAATAATTTTATAAATTTGACTTTAAAAAATCTTAAATTTTAGTTAAGTTATATAATATAACTCAAAATTTTTAATTTTTAATAATTAGTTGATTGATTTTAATTTTGAGGTGAATTCTTCAACTCAACATAATATATATATATATGCATCGTATATGATTATAGAGAAATATTTAAATTAGAGTTAATTAATATCATAATATTATAAAATATTTATAATTAAATTTAAACAAAAATTCGAACAACTAGGCTTGCTTTAACTTAAAATTTTTAAATAAAATTTAAAGTATAAAATAAGACTCGTCAATTCGATTAACTAAAAAAATAACTCATATATTCATCTTTTGATTTATTAATTTTTTTCTCAAACAAGAATAGTAACTACACGTTACTTTATACAAAATTTATATAAAAAATTGTTTTTAATAATGAAAATATAGAACACATTTGGTTCTTATAATAATGATATAAAGAAAATTCTTACATTTATACTTTTTTAAGAATAGATGTTGTGAGATTTACATCATTTGTTAGATCAAGGGTCTAACCTTAAATTTTAAACCAATTTTTCATTTTATTTTAACTAATTAATCATTTTTAAAATAAAATTTGAATATATTAAAAATAAAAATCCCATTTTTCAACGTAGAATCATTGCTGTCATGTCATACCTTAAAATTATAATTATTATATTTACTCTAATGATTTATTTATTAAAAGGGAAAATTGATTTTTGAAATATATAAAATAATATCTCAACTAAATCATTTAGTATTCGTTGTTTTGTCTTATTCTAGTTTATGTAGGATTATCAGTATCCGATTTATTAATAAATCAATCTAAATTTAGTATTGTAAAGATGAGGACGATCCTCTCAACCCAATTTATTCTATTCGTAAATATTATAATTCGAACTCTTGACATTATTTATGAGATCGAGTATCTCATCTCACTAGGCTAATTAGTTGTTAGTAAGTTACTTTTAAAATTAATCTCCAACATTTGAGATATTTTAAAGATGATATTCACATTTTTTTCATGGCTTGAAGTTAAGAAAATGTAAAAGGCATGCAATCATATTTTTGGATTTGTTTTTTTATCAATTATTATAGATTTGACTTATATATTTATTTTTTAATATATATAAAGACAATAAAATATGAATTGTAATAATTTATCATAAGTTTTATGGAAATTGATATTAAAAAAATATTAAAAGAACAAAATTTATCTTATAAAAATTTTATACTAAGGATAAATTTGTAAAATATGATTTTAGATAATCTTGTATTTATTTGATTAAACAAAAATAATCTTACATCATGACCAAATAAATTAAACAAGGTAATGTAACATTTCTCGTCATAATATTTTAAGTCTTATATTTCATAATCTTATCCTCATGGATAATATTATTTTCAATACATCAAATACAAAGAATTACTTCAATTATTAGATTCAATGCAATACTAGAAGTAGAATCCGAAAATATTACTTCAATATACTTTAAAAACTTAAAGGTTGTTAAATATGAACTATAACTACATGTAATCTCACGCAATTTTTAATCCAAACTCTAGTAACTTATTGAGTATATACATATAATGTTACATTATTTATGTCATTTGTTAGATTTAATGTAATATTTAAAGCAACTATGTTAAATGTTACCAAAATATATCTAAAAAAATTAAATGTGGATTTAACATAAATTGTAGCTAGATGTAATTTTATCTATAATTCTCAGAGATTCAAACCCGAAACTATAACATCCTCAATTTTCCTAATATGATTTTTCTTCAAGTTTGATAATTAAAAATATCATTTCGGGGATTAGAATATTTATTTTTAATGATTGGGAATCATGTATAAATTGGTTAGGTTCATGTAGATCGAAAATGTTTCAATTGAAAACTAAAAAGGGATAATTAAAAGTTTAAGGACTAAAATTAAAAAGAACGTAAAAGAAATAGATTTGCATGGCTTTTATCCCAAAAGAAACTTTTAGTGGAAAATTATGGTATATGTGTCCAGTGTATATGTTAGTCGAATCACTGGCGTAAACCCGATGTGCTAGTAATAAATTATAAGGTAAAGTACACAAATGGTCCTCTAACCATAAGATGTTGCTTTATTGAGTTCCTCGACTAATAAAAGTTACGAAGTGATCTCTTGACTATAGGACATTGCTTTGTTTAGTCCCTCGACTATTAAAAGTTATAAAATGGTCACCTAATTATTCATATGTTCTAAACTCTTCTTTTTTCGTTAAAAAGTTGACGACATTCTGAGTTGAATATTAACATGCTAATATTTATGATAGAATCCGATCCCAAAATCTTAAACGACTATCATATCTCAATCAACATGTTAACTTTCAGCTCAAATTGTCATATTTTTTAACGAAAAATTATGAGTTTTGAATATATGAACAGTTGGGTCACTCAACAAAGCAACGCCTATAGTTAAGGGACTATTTTGTAACTTTTAATAATCAGGGATTCAATAAAGTAACGCCCTATTGTTGTCATTTGCGTACTTTATCTTAAATTATATGCATTCAGACCACACTGGTGAAGTAACCAAGGTTCGGCAATTTGAAATAAACTAAGCTTAGTTAGAAAGGAAAATAGTTTACTGGATAAAGAGAATAAAAAATACTCGAGTAAGATTCAAGACCAATCTACCTTAACTATTCTTCTTGCATTCAGCTTTAAGTATATGCTGCTTCAAAACAGTGTACGGACATTGTATCCAACCAAGCAACTATAACATACACTCGAAGGCTAAAACAACCTATGTAACATTTTCCCACTGTTCTTCCAGAATCGTTGGCCTAAAAACATTTTTATGCAAACTTCTATGACTTCTTGCTTCTGTTGCTGTGCAGTCCTCTGGGCAGCTATATGAAACCGAAATGACTAATATCCACTATTACTATCATATGAACCAATTATTATGGCAAGATGTTTTGTATGTAACATAGGATTTTACCTAATTTTCAACGCCGGTGTCTTGGAAATGTATTTTATTGGCCGAATCCGATGGAGGTCCCCTTGCAATAGGCATTCCACCGCTGAAATTTTGTTTGGGTTTAGCATAGTCCACAAAAATGGCACGCCCATTCAAATCCTGTCAATAATCACTTCACTATTTACAAAACCACTAAGATCTCCATATCTATGAAGACAAAGGAATGGAAAAGAATGGTTTACCTTTCCATTCATCTCAGCTATTGCTTTCTCGGCTTCATCTTCCGATGCATAAGTAACAAATCCGAAACCTTTCGATCTATCTGAAACTCTATCCATTACAATTTTGGCTGGTAAAAGCAACAGTGTTAGCACAAGTTCAAGCAAAAATCGATTCGCAAACACCTCATAGTATTGCTCAATATCAAGACAAAGAGAAGGATTCAATCACATACCGACCTTCCATAACTTGACCATACTGAGAAAATGCATCTGATAGCCCTTTCTCCGTGGTATAAAAGGACAGACCTGCTAGTTTAAGCAAATATCTGTTCAGTGTCATAACTATCAATATAGACAGAGGAAGCATTGGGGTTTCTCGGTTTCAACTTAATTCGGCTAAAAAAACCATTCATTTTCAATTACAATAAATCAATTAAATCCCCAATTTATAATTAAAATGAGCCGGAGCAGAAGTGAATTGCTATCAAAAGAATCTCTATATCATTACTGAATATTGATCAAGAATTTCCGTTTACAGGATAAACTGATGATTCTGTACAAGAAAATTGGAAGGTAACAAATGATATAATACAAAAGAAAAAAAAAAGAGAAAGAAAGAAAAGAGTGAAGTACCTCCAACGAAGAGCTTAGAGGCGATACCTCTTCGGGAAATAAGAAGGAAAGAGGGCTTGGAGGATCCGGTGATGAGTCTTCTGAGTGCCGCCATCTCCACTGCAAAGACACCGAGCAAACGAACAGGCACAGCTTCTTTTGTATATATACAAGAGCCAAGATCTGAGAATTGAGAATTCTATTTTTGTGTTCGGATTGGGCGGGCTCAACCTAAATGAAGTCCCTAACTACATGGCCCTATTTCATTCATCTCAATCGCTGAAATACCTTTTTCTTTTAGGGTAAATTACGTGTGTATCTAAATTATCAATTTTGATCCGTTTTAACATCTAAATTTTTATTTTTTTAATCATATCTAATATTAAAATTTTTGTTTCATTTTAGTATTCATCATTAAAAACTTAATACGTTTAGTACCTAAATTATTAGTTTTGACCCATTTTAATATCTAAACTTTTAATTTTTTTCAAAATCATATCTAACGTTTAATTTTTATTTCATTTTAGTACTTGTCGTTAAAAACTTAACGTGTTTAGTATCTAAACTATCAGTTTTGATCTATTTTAATACTTAAACTTTCAATTTTTTCAAAACTATACCTAATGTTTAATTTTTGTTTCATCTTAGTACCCGTCATTAAAAACTTAACGTGTTTAGTACCTAAACTATCAGTTTTGATCCATTTTAATACTTAAACTTCCAATTTTTACAAAACTTAACGTTAAGTTTTTAATGGGTACATATAACAAAAATTAAATGTTATACATGATTTTGAAAAAAATTAAAGTTTAGGTACTAAAATGGATCAAAAATGATAATTTAGGTACTAAGCATATAATTTAACATTTCTTTTAATATAAAAAAAATACAAGCACAGGTACCGTCACATTTGCAACTATAACTAGGGTAAACTTCACGTTTAATATCTCAGCCATCATTTTTATTTTATTTTGATCACCAAACTATTTTTTATTTTCTAATTTTACGTTTTGATCACCCAATTATAATGCTTGTGAGACTTAAATCAAAATAAATTTTCATGATTTATATAAGGGTACTCAAATTTAAGATATAACTCAAATAATCAAATCTATCAGGTTATCATAAAGTCACAGTGTCCAAATTGACATAACCTTAATATTACCACTAAGCTAAGACCTCCTGACTTTGAAAATCCATATTAAAGCTTGGACTTACTTAGTCACCAACTCATTGTATTGCATAAGGATGACATGGACACAAGTTAAATAATTTGTGTCTAAACTCTTAAGAACCCATTTATGAATTATGAAATCATATCCTCTCTTAAAAAATGATTATAAGCAATTAAACTTGTTTATGAAGAAAAGTAGGTGAAACTAAGGGTGTAAATGAATAAAGTGTTTGATGAACTATTCGCGAATTGTTTGTATAATATTCGTTTATGTTTGATTATTAAGTTAAATAAACAAATATGAACAAAATTTTTATGTTCATTCAATAAATGAATGACCACAAACAAAAGTGTATTTGGTTCATTTATATTCACGAACAAACTCGTTAAGGACTCATTTATAAGCTCATTTACCAACTTCTTTATAAACTCGTTTATCTGATCTTCTTTTCCTTTTATTTTTTGAATTTTAAGTATTGATGAAAATAGAGACTAAATTGAACACATAATAAACTCTAGAGTTCAAACTGTGAAACTTAGAGAGCCAAAGAACTAGTAATGTAATTTCACCATTTCTGAACATATAAACAAATATTGAATAAGCATTTTCATAAACACTAAATGAAAATTTCGAAAACAGTAAACAAACGAATACCTTCAAAAATAAATAAAAAAATATGAACACAATATTAAAAATTAAAACGAACATAAACACCTTAAAAAATAAACAAACGCAAACACAATCTTGTTCATTCAAACTTGATTTATTTACACCCCTAAATAGATCTTGAAACCGATTCAAAAGAACAAAAATTGTTTAAAACAGTAATAAAATATTTGGTAAAAAAAACTTAAATAAACATAAAATTACACTCCCAAGAGGTCGTTCTATAAACAGAATCAATTTCACAATCGAAGAAATCTGGTAAGGGGAAGTCCATTATTGACGAAACACCGTACTGATACTCAAACTCTGTTTCAATGTCCATTGCACCTCAAACTCTGTTTCAATGTCCATTGCACACCGAAACTTTCTACTTTGTTGAATTCGGCATTCGATCTTTCTATAACTGATTCGATCAACTAAAACCATAACAGATTACACTCCAAGAAAACATACAAGGTTGGCAGAAATTCCCAAACTGAAATCATTATTATAAATCATAAACATTCGTCTTATCCTTCACTCACCATACCAGCTGTGCATTCCACCAACCTATACGACGAACATCTCGGAAAAGTAGTGAAAATGAATTCACCCCGGACTTGGATCTCTCCCAACTGATAGCAAGCTCAACAGTGCAGAGAGGAAATGGTGATTAAGGAAGAAGGCAAGGTGAATGTTGACATGGATGGAATGATGGTGGACTGTTGCTGGAGGAAATGATGGTGATTTTTAATTTCTCCATCTTCTCTAAGAGCCCTACAATTTCAGTTTTGTTGGTGCATCTTGAGACTTCCAGTTTATTTTTATCACGCAGGCCAAACTTTTTGTCACATCAGCTAACTTGCGTCACATTTTAGTTTTCTGCATCAATCCGAGCCATACAAGCTTGAATGGTAACAGGATAGTGTTTCACACTGTCCTTCATTAACATTTAGGGTAATATCAAATCCGGTGTCAAAATTGATAAACCTGACTTTAGAGAACAAAAGCGTATGGTGTACACAGAAATTTGGAGTGAAGTTTCGAGGATCAACTTTAGAGTTCACGAATGATGCAACTTTTGCAATGCCTGGTAGAACATGTCAATGAATTGATCATCCTAAGCACAAGAACGACCAAAATGAGTCAGTCAATAACAAAAATCCTACATGAAATTATTGGGGCTTCAAATTATGCATGCATGTGTATTCACCGGGGATTTATTAGTGGCCTTCCAAACATGCCACCCCAAGTCTAGTCTAGAAATCTTAGAAACAATTATCATCAATACTATTCCAGATGTGTAAAGATATTCTCATTTGGACAACAACACTTCTTATTGCATTTCCTTCTCAGCGGCATTTGCATTACCTACTATCATAGTATGAAGAATAATCTTTTTTATCTTCCTTTTAGAATTTATCTTCTGGCTGAATTAGTAACATACGAAAGCCATATGCGCTGGCTATTAATTAACATTTTAAGTTAAAAACAGAAACCAAGAGGCAGAAAAAATTATATAAATACCTGAACAAGCATAAGAAGTGCATTGCGGACTTTATCCTTGCTAATAAGGGTTCCATCATGCAAAGTAGGTGGTGCACTAGGAGTGAGAGAAGCAGGTGGAGTAGGTGGTGGAAAGGGTTGGAGCAGAGGAGTGCCATAGGGACGTTGTAGGTTGAGGGGTCGATGAAGAGCAGAAGCAGTCGGTGTTGATGAAGAGACAGGTGGCATCATCAATGAGGATGATGATGGGGTAGGAGGAGCAAAAATGAAGAAGGCTTAATGAGATTGGTCACTTGGTTGCTGCTACTTACTGAATAAAGTGAAGGTGAAGCAGGAGGATGGGACGGCACTGGTGGAGTTGATGCTGGAGCAGAGACGACAACTGGTGCATGAGAAGACAGAGGTGCAGTCGAGATAGAAAGGTAAGGCTGTATTGAATTTGTAAGATTTGGAGCATTAGTTCCGAGGTTCATAGCAGCCTGAAATTAGTGAACAAAGTAAGTTTAACAAGAGAGATAGGATAAATATTATGCACTGAAAGGCCAAAAGATGAGCATCAGATGTGAGCATACACTAAAGAAGTTAACAAACAATGAATCTTCAGGTGCATCAGTAGTAGGAGCAGCAATTGCAGGTGGCTCCAAGGGGCCTTCAATTACAGACATGCTAGGAACTGCTTCTAGCTCCTCAAACTCACTGCATTATGGTAACAAAAAAGCTTAGAAAACTTGCACACTGAAGAAAGGAAACAAAATTAAAATAGTGACAACCAACATATACCAGCAAGAAAGATTTTGATTTTCTAAGGATCAGTGTCAAAATCACTAAATTATTAGAAAATCATTAATATTACAATATGTAGATGCTTGTTCTCTGGCTAGTCATAATGTTAAAAATTTACCCATGTGACTTAGCATGTCTGACAAGTATTAACTGTTGAGTTACATTATGGTGCACCTTATAACCTGTAGATATGGGAGTTGAGGCTCATTGTTATAACGATGCACTTTTCACGAAAAACTCTTGATTCACCCACCTCCTTCAAGAATACAATATAATACCGATTCTTAATTACGTCTCCTAAATTTTCCGTGTTCTCAGTTCCTATTTGGTATTCTGTCCACTTGCTACTATCTATTTCCTTCACCTGCCACAAAATTTGGCACTCATAGACCATAGTCCATCCTACTCCTCCTCTCCACCACCTTTACCTCAATCCTTAATGTTTGAAATTGCAGGACAACCTTACCTCATACACATAAGGACCTCTATACATGCAAAATAGACAACTGATAAAATGCCATATGGGTATCTAACAAAATAACATGGAAGGTAAGACAGAGTTGTATGCCCCACAACTGCAGGGCAAATCAACAGTTAAATATATTCTAAGGCTTCCAAGAAAGCAGTACCTTCCTTATACGTAATGACCTTTTGCTTTGTAAAAACCATTACCTTTTGCTTGAAGATACTTTTGGCTTTGCAGGAACCTTTGAATATGCATTAAGTATCCTGCAACGAAGACAACAATCACAATGTAACAATTAAATCACCCAAATAAACAGACCCATAACATCACTTATTGAATTATAACTCACAAAGCACGTTGATATAAATTTGTCTGAATGCTTGTGAGGTTTATTCTAAATTATGAAAGTTGCAATATTGTTGTAAAGGCCTGGGAAATCCTGATTCAGATATGGAAATATACCCTAGTGCATACAATTAACAAGTCTAGACTTGATAGTTTTGTAGAGCTAAAAACAAAAACATCAATGGTTCAACATTTTAGAATGCATGGACCTACTTATCTAGAGTCATATCGCCAAATTTATGAATACTTAAAAAATAAATCAACCAGAAGACTG